CGGTGGCGCATATAAGAAATTGCGCCACCGGTGGCGTAAATAGACAAACCCATCCTCCTATCGATATCACTTCCTGCCTCTTCAACCCACCACGTTCTATGCCCCGGGACAGCAGTACAGCTACCGCCTTCTCTCCTAGTTGGTATTCCATGCCTCAAACCACTCACTGTATCTTTCTTCTACTTTTCCCGAGGCTCAGCAACGTAAAATCTCGTCCCCTTCTACAACAGACATTCCGCAACTGCATCAACCCGGTGTTCGCACTCGGAGCCGCTTTTACGTTTTACCTTGGTCGGTGCGGAGGTGTGTGTGTGTGTGTGGGGGGGGGGTAGAGGCCTCTAGCTTTGTTGTACAAGGAATACCCCTCGTCGCGTGCCATTGGGGTGCCTGCCACGCTGCGTGCCATGCACGAGAGCCATGTCTATACCCCTTGAAATATTGAAAGAGCTCGGCCAGCTGTCAAAGTCGAAAGAAGGTGTGATTCTTGATCGACACACTTAGAGGTCATCAAAGAACACATCATTGCTGGCAACTGCCCACGAAGTCAGACTCGGAGGCCATCGAGTCGACACGGGCGCGACGAAAGCTTTCCGACACCTCTTCCTTCGTCGCACCCACCGATTTTCGAATTCAAGCGTCTAAACCCGCTGCTCTTGACAGTTCGTTCCTTGATGTGGAGTACTCGTAAAACTGAGCATGGGCTGACTTGGGCTATTCACTCGGCCGTCTCAGGAGCGTGTATGTTAAAGGAACAAGGAAATAAAAGGGAAGGGAGCAGTGGGGCTATAGTCTTAGTCACACCAACCAACGAAAATACACAATATCCATGTCATGATGTCATGATCATACAACGCTCATACACAGTTGCTCCATTACGCGTACCCGCCACTTTTTTCGACTACCGTGTGCATTTCGAAATACATGTACAGTGGACCAAAGTACGCGCCGCGTGATGCCGTTGGACAAGCACAGTGGAGATGCGGGTGCGGTGGTAGGGTCGTGGGCTTCGCGTGAGGGGAGCGCGCCGTAGAGCAGGAATGGATGAGGTCTGACATTCGAAGAGCAAGGTGTGAAGGTCGCAATGTAGCTACGACGGGCGTTACTAGATAGAGCGGGGACGACAATCACACCGAACATGACCCTTGTGGACCTCTAAATGGTTCAACGTGTTTACTCAGATGCGACATTATTTCAGGCGATACCGCGTCTGTCTGTATTTAACTCGATTCCAGAGGGCTCTGTTCGGCGATGTTCTATTAGTGTACTCTGTTTTATGCATATGAACACGCTGCTGTCAAGTGTCAGGCTGAATCCACCCAGAAAAAAAAAGGCACTCGGAATGGGGCCCTCGGCGTAGAAATATGAACAAGAACCCCGTGTATCATACGGATATGCCTGCTCAAAAAAATAAGAAATTTGAGAATAAGAACAGGTGCTCAATTTGAGGCAGGCAATAAGCATCGAGCCTTGGCCAATAACAGCGGTTCTTAAGTGCGGGCACCATCTGTATCGGAAACACTATTTGAAAGCCCTATTGTACGATTAGTGGTTCTTAAGTGCGGGCGCCATCTGTATCGGAAAAACTTTTTGAAAGCCCTTTTGTACGATTGAGCACGATTCCAACCTATCGGGACACATCGTGACATTTTTTGACTTAATGTTCTGCCCAATTCAACACCCCCTCTGAGCTGCCTGTAATATACTGCAGGGAATCTCTCGTGGCACCTGCTTCATTTGAGCTCGTCAAAAATCGGAGGGCGGACAGACGCGGCGAGAGCACAAACGTAGCGCATTTCGTGGTCACCGCGGCATGCGGGGGCAGGATAAGTGGACAGGGCGCGCCGTGTTTGCTCGGAAACGGGTTGTTGCTAGCGCTTGTTGTGGGATTTGAGTACAAGGATCTGAACGGTAGAATAGATCTGGCGGGAGCTGCAACTCCTTAGGATTATTGTCACAGGGAGGATGGCAATTGCCGTAGCGGCCGTTCTCTACAGGAACTCCAAAGAGGGCTTCACTTCTCCCTACTCCTCTTGCGTATCTAATACAAGAGATAAAACGTCTTCCCCTTCCAAGTAAAGGACATATACGAACACACTAGTGTCAGTCCCTCGAGGGAGAATCCATTAGGAATGTCAGGTCGCAAAGATGGGGGTGACTCCTCCAGCGACTCTGCGGCGGAAGACAGAAAGAGGTCAAGAGAAGAGCTCGTGGCCCTGAGGACGCAAGTTAGCTCGCTGACGGATCAGATGAGCCAGTTAATGTCGCTAGTGGAAGATACCATGAAGGCAAGCAAGAAGGAGGAGCCAGCTGGCACCATGGAGGGTGCCGCTGATCGCGGCGATGCTAGGGAGAGCGCCGCCGCGCAGTCCACGAACGCCGAAGGAGGGGCACCGTGGACCGGGAGTGCGCAGGACGGGAGGTACCTGCGCGAGTCTGTTCGAGAGTCTGGCTCGTCAGGGCGACACAGCGGCGAAGCAGGGGCTTTGTCCCCCAAGAGGTGAGAGTAGCCGCTGCTCACAACCAAGATAATAGTAGTGCCATGGGAGATGGTGGTGCTGCTGTTGGCTTTGGATACGGAGTCACAACCCCAGTGACGGGGTACCAAAGTGTGCGGTACACTTCTCCTCCGTTCAGCGGGAAATCGAAAGATTCAACGGATGACTGAATGATTTCCGCATGGCAGCTAATGGCGCACACCTGTTGGAACAATTTGAAGAGAGCGGGAGCTTGGAGATCCCCGTCAACAGCGGAAAGGCCAAGTTTTCGCTGTCACAGCAGTACCGGAGCGAGCAAGTAGAGCTCGCATTCCACGCGTGGAACTTCCTGTGTCACGCGTTGAGAGAAAAGGGTCGGAAAACCATGAAGAGGGCAGAGACGCCCCAGGGAGCTCTTCGTGAGCTCAAGACCATACACGACCCTGAATCATCTGTACAGACGTCAGAGGACCTGAAGTCCCTGACGTCGGCCAAGATCTCTAGAGGTGAAAACCCCAATACGCCCTAAATGAGATGCTCCAAACCGCAAAGTCCTTAACCGAGAAAGGACCAACTGTCAACGAAACGTTCGTCCTTCACCTCTTCCTGGATGCCCTTTTGGACGAGTATGCCATGACAAAGCACAACCTGCGACACGCGAAGGAGTTGACGCGGACCGGTGTGCTAAAGGAAGTAATGATCGAATACAAGGCGATCAAGGACAAGCTGGAGCAGGAGAAAGGAAAAGGGGCGAAGGGCGCAGAGCAAGCGTACTTCGCCGACGGTGAGGGCCGCAGGGAGCGGTACTCAAGTAGGAGTCAGGGGCAAGGTCGTGGTCGTGGTGGCGGCCGTGGCTGCAGCAGCAGTCGTGGCCGCGGTGACGGCGGTCGCGGCGGCCGCTGAGGCGGATCCGGAGAGTCGAGGAGAGCAAGGGAAGCAGCAGTGGAGGCGCCGATGGCGGCGGTGGCGGGGACTATAAGTTCCCGGGCCGGTGCTTTAGGTGTGGACATCGTGGACATCAAGCGATCGGCTGCACTACCAACGAGAAGGACTTCGTGCCGTGGTGTGCGCGCTGCGAGGGGTGGGGCCACACCAAAGAAAAGAGCGCGACGGAGGACGCCGTCCTAGCGCAAGTGGTGGAGCATGAGAGCGACGGGGACTCCGTGGAAGACCAGGCGTTTTGTGCCGTGGCAGTCCCCCCAGGCGAGTGTGGTACCGTTGGTGAAGTAGGTCTAGTGGGGGTTGTGGAACAAGGCCAGGCGGTGTACGTGGCCGACACAGCGGCCACATGCTTCATGTTCCGATGTGCAGACAACTTCGTGAACTACCGTGAGCGTAGCGGTTGGGTGAAGGGGATCGGAGGCGAGAAGGCTCCCGTTCCTCTTCTAGGATACGGAGATGTGACCTTAGTCCTACAGACGGAAGGTGGTGGAGTACCCGTACCAGTACTGAATGCTGCCCATGTACCAGAGGCCCCCTATAACCTCCTCCCGCTGTCTTCGTTGGCGGAGGAGGGCCACACGTATTCGGGGATGGAGGGGGGCCTCACGCTGACCACGTAAGCCGGGGGGGGGAGGTGTGGTTCCCCCGGACTGGAAAGCTGCTGACCCAACGAGGCTATCAAATAAAGCCAACGCTAGACACCGCCTGTGCCGCACTCATTGTTCCTGGCGATGCGAAAGCAGCCACCCCCACTGACCTCAACGAGTACCACCTGGCGCACGGCCATGCCCACGAGACATTGCTCAGGATCACGGCGGAGCAGCAGGGAGTGCAGCTGACGGATGGACCGCTGCTACCCTGCCTTGGCTGTTCGATGTCCAAGGGACAGGTGAAAACCCGTCCAGAAACGCACGAGCACACGCGCAGTTAAGAAGTTATTTCGCGTGTCTCTCGACTCGGGAGGAAAGATGAAAACCAGGAGCATTGGTGGCCACTGGTACACCCTGATCATCAGAGTCGATTTCTCCCATTGGACGCGTGTTTTCTTCTTGAAACACAAGTCTGACGCAGCGGTTGGGTTTGAGAAGTTCCTGGCGGACTACCGAACGAAAGGGGTTCCGCGTGAGGTTAAAATCGCACGTACCGACGGTGGCGGCGAGTTCCAGGGGCAGTTTGGGGAAGTTTGCTGCAGACACGGCATCAAACAAGAGTTCACCCCCCCTCACACCCCAAAATACAACGGTGTAGCGGAGAGAGCGCTAGGGTTGATCACTGATGCCGCGCTTGCGTCACGCATCCAAGCGACGCAACTGTTCCCCGACGCACCAAACCACCCCGGGTTGTGGGCTGAGGCCATTTCGTGTGCATGCCATCAGCTGAACTGCACTGCCACTAAATCAAACGAGGGAGACAAATTCGCCTACGAGATGTTCCACGACTCCCCACCGCCTGTCGGGTCTACATACCCAGCCGCGTTTAAGTCGAGAAGAAAAGCAAAGTCGCAACCCAAGGGCGAAAAAGGATGGTACCTTGGTCCTGCCCACAATCACCCCCGTGACTGCGTTCGCATGCTGACCGAAGCTGGAATCGTAATCACCACCCGCAATTTCACCTGGCGCCACGTGCCCGCTGCATCGCCCGCTCCCCCGCAGCTGCTACCTCTCGCAGATGACGAGGAGGGCGGGGAGGGCGAGAGCAGAGCGGATGCATCACGCCAAGGTTGGGGGGGGGAGAGAGACTCAGAGAGTGAGTCCGACCTCGACGTGATGGAGGCTCGTGGGCCAGGGCAAGCGACGCCGTTTGTGCGCGAGGAGGCGCCGACGGCACCCGGCAACGGGATTCCGGGGGACGGAGGCAGCGTTCCCCCGTCGCCCCCTTCGGGAAGGGGCGACTTCGGCGGAGGCAGTGACAGCCCCACCGACAGCAGCAGCAGCAGCAGCAGCAGCAGCAGCAGCAGCAGCAGCGCGAGCAGCAGCAGCAGCAGCCCGAGCAGCAGCACCAGTGACGCCGGCGGTGCCGGCGGCCCGGGCGGCGAAGAGCCCGGCGACCCAGGTGGGGACGGCGGTAGCGATGGTGATCCCGGCGACTCCGAGAACCTCGAGGAGTTGAAGTATGATCCAGCCGACGACCGCTACCCCCGCGGGCTAGAAGGGAAGAAACTCCTCTGGGGCGCCTCGAACGCTGGTCCGCTGCGCCATGGGCTTGAGAGTGGCCGCACGCGGAAGCAGACCCGGGAGATGCAAGGTGCCGGGGAGATGCCGGGGCCCGGAGAAACACCGGACCCGGAAGAGGCATTGCTGGCGACCATCCTGGAAACTGGCGGGACGGGGATTGTTGAGGACTTCATCTGCAACTCGCTTGTGAAGGAGCAGTGGGACGAGGAGCAGACACGCCGTATGGAGGAGATGTACAGGCGCGAGATGCAGGAGGTGTTGGGCCCGGAACAGCAGGCGGTCGGGGCCGAGGTCGACGCCAGCGGGTCTTCGCAACCACTCCCAGACCCACAGCTAAGCATGACCTCGCCAATCGGGCAGAAGCCGAGTGATGTGGAAGCAGTACCGATGACGTACAAGGATGTAATGTGTTCCATGTACAAGGTTTTCTGGGAGGCGGCCATGAAGAAAGAGGTAGATGGCCACGACAAGAATGGAACCTTTACCAAGGTCAAGGAGCTGCCCGAGGGGCGGAAGGTCATAGGTTCAAAGTGGGTGTTATCTTGGAAGGCGAATCAGAAGGGCCTGATAGTCGACTTCAAGGCCCGTATGGTTGCGCGGGGTTTCTCTCAAATCCCCAGCATCGACGTCCACCACTCGTCCTCAGCGTGCCCGTCTGCAGCGTCTATCAAGACGGTGATTACCGTAGCCAGTGAAAAGGGCAAGAAACTCGCTCACTGGGATGTGAAGCAAGCGTACATCCACGCTAAGCTAAAGGAAGAAATATACCTCGGGTTCCCGGAAGGCTGTGGTAGTATGTCCGGCAAGGTGGTCCAAGGTCGAGCGTGCCCTGTATGGCCGAAAGCAGAGTGGCCGTGAGTGGGGGTTTGAAGCTGCCAAAGCCCTCATCGAGAATGGATACAAGCAGTGCAGGGTTGACCCGTGTGTCTTCCGGAAGGTGGTGGATGGAGAGGTCGTAGGTCTCATCGTGATCTA